AGTGATAGTAAAAGAAAAAAGAATGGATTGTAGCGGTTGAATTTGATATATCAACACTCTAGAATTGGTCAAAAGCTCCAACACTGGTCAAAAGGGGTGATGGCATTACTGTAATTATATGTACTTTGGTTTTTTTTTTACGCAATGGCATTATTTCGTAGAATACATAGTTTCACTAATCTTCATTCTCACAAACATTAATATGCATTTCTTTTAACAGTATTGTGCATTCTGTAGCGCGATGACGTTGTGGTATATTTATGAGCATGCTTGGGTACAAAATTTCTCAAAAAAATCCAAACATTTTTAACTCAACCACTTTTTTTAACTCAACTTTAACTCAACCCCACTATCATCAATATTATCAATATAATTAAATAATATTCAATCAATCATTCTTACATACCACCTTACCTTAATTCACCATTCATCCACTCACATAATTTTAATTAACCATCACTTCAAATTTTCTCTCTCCTACTTTACATCAAATCAACTTTAATCATTTTATTTTAAATATTATTCTAATATATCCACTAACAACTAACTATACCAACTTTTTCAAAATTAACCAAACCAAACAAAAAATCAAAACAAAACCAAAATTTTTTATATCCAATCATCTTCAAAACATGTGATTTGTAAAAATATGACTCTATTTTTTATGTACATGTGCAAACTGTATATTGTGCATTTTATTCATCATTATCTTGCATTTATTAATTTCTTTTTTATAAATTATGAATTTGGCCCATGAACTTAATTTCAATATAGTTAAAATTCTTGAAATTCCAGAGAAGTCCTTGTGATATATAATTTTCAAAAATCAACCCCATTCTAAAATTGGTGAATTCCTGACGGGTAAGAAAATGACGACGTTGACCAAGCAAGGAAGGCGACAACCGTCGTGTACACCATCTGGGAGGCCGCATTCAAGGTGATGGAGTCAGACGTCCTCCTGCGAATGTTCATTGACAATCTCAGACCCGATCAAATTCCCACTCGCCAGACAGATTTCCCCTAATTCAGCCCTCACAGTCAAATTCAAACCACAACTAATCTTTCTTTACGCAATTAAGCTCTGAAATTGCAAAAATGAGAGAGATTCAATTTGTTCCCAAAAATGGCGAGCCCTAATTCCTCAGAGAGGGCGAAGAAAGTGAGGACATTGGCGTAATCTTTCTGGTGAGGCGCTGTGGATTCTACGGTTGGGATGCGCTCCTTGTCGAATTCTCCTATGCCGCGGCAGGCAGTTGGATTAGAGGATCGCCAGAAACCAACTGGAGGCAGAGGGGTGGGTGGGAATTGGCCGAAATCTATACTTATATAAAAAGCTATCACATTTACTATAATTAGTAAGAAGAAAAGTCAAATCATAATTAATTGCACACTATATTTATAAAGTTTTAGATATTTTAAATCATAAAATAGGGTACCATTGAATGCCCCTAAAATTATGGGTTTTGTTGAATTCATTTTTAAAAATTTCGACAGATATTGAAGTGAATATGAAATTCAAAATCTTTTCTCATTTTATTTTTAATAAAATATGCATCTAAATTTACGTGTGGTTTTAAATTGAAAATTTGAAATTCAAAATCTCTTCCCATTTTAGTTACAAGAAAACCAGACTGCATTCAACACTTGGACCAATTTAAAAATTATTCCTTAAATGAAGGAATTTATAGATAATTGTTATATCTACTTAATCATATGATTATTTTCAATATAAAAAGAGACAGATTACAAATTAGTGAATCATATATTACCTAATTCAATATCTTAACATTAAATAATAAATCCATAGTATTATGTAAATCCGTATCTCATATTATTAAATCATTAAGAATATATTATAGTTATATTATCAAATCATAAAAAGATATTAAATCCATATTGTAAAAAAAAAAAATCATATAATTTTATAACAGTTCTACTACACTATTTAATAGTATTCCTTTTTATTATATAATAGAATAATAATTAAATATTATATAGTGAACAACAATAAGTAAAACTGCTACTTTCTCTTATGTCAAGGGATAAATTTATATGATAAAATTAAATTTTTATTACTATAAATGTTTTAGTGAGATAATATATTAATTATTTACAAGCTAGCCCTAACATGCTCATATCTAATATTCTGGCTGAAAAAATAACACTGGTTAAAAGATGTGGAAAAAAAACTTATAATAACACTATTATTTTTTAGACTTAACGTTGATTAAAAGAGGTAGAAAATAGATAATAACTCTATTATTTTTTAGACTTAAACAAACAAGGGGGTGAAAATAACTCATTTAATATCTCTGTCTCGTGCATCGCACGGGGTACATACTAGTACATTACTAATACTTGAATCTATATATATATATAAAGAATTACTATTTACTAAATATAGTAGCAAAAAAGTCAATGAGCATTTAATGCATACTTTATTTGGAAACTTTTAAATATATGCATTAATTGCTTTAATATATACACATTTTCAAATCATATATGATCAAAAAGATTCTTTCCTTGAATAATTTTATTATCATATGCAACAATTTTATTGATATTCATTATAATAAACTATAATTTGATTTTTCATAATTGGTGTTGATAATATTTTTGTCAACATAACCATGAAAACAAATTTTAAGTCTTAACCATAATATTAATTTTGTTTTTTCAAAAATGTTGACTTTCATCCTAAAATATTTATAAACAATCGTAACATGTTAAATAATTCTCCCTCTAACTAATTAGCCGAAATCCAGTTGGTGAATAATAATTTTCGATAATATTTTTTAACCTTTATTTAATTATATAAACAAATAATTTCTTTAAACTAAAATAATTTACATTTAAGAGATAATGATCAAATCATTAAATAATTTATTAACGGCTAAATAATAAAATTAAAATATATTAACTATTCTTTACAGTTTCAATATTTGATTTATTTGTATATTATTGTCAACCACGATAATTTTATCATTTTTTATTTTTATTTGTTTCCATAATGAATTTATTGTAAAATATATATTTATATTGCATAGTATGTTAAAATAACTAATAAAACCTTAGGA